TTCAAGGCCAACTTGCTTTGCTATTTCATGTAAAAGCTCTTTCATTCTAGGCTCATTTGAGACATAGACTAAGGCAGAAGAAGTAAACTCGTCTCGCATGTCATTATATACTTTTTTAGCAACGGTGGTCTTACCTACACCTGCCTCTCCTACAACACATATCATTTTACACTCTGAGTTTGAGCTCCTCAATTTTTCCTTGAGTTCCTGGAATTTATCTTCACGACCGACAACCATTGACTCCGTGGCAATTAGGAATTCTTTTCTTCGATTCCATACCTCCGAATCTGCATTACCTGTTGGATTTTATGTGGTTCATATTTATAAGATATTTGGTTTAATAATAATTATTAGGATAACTACCAAAGAAGCTCTTTCATACTAATTGGACAAAGAAAATTAGCCCTCTTTCTCATATTTATAGAAGAGACTATCAAATTAAAGTGCAATTTAGAGATCTTGATATTTCATATTTATGATTCTTTGGCCAAAAATAAATAAATAAAGAATAAAAATCATAGAATATAACATGTTCAGATTTATATTGATCTAAATGGATAAAATCAGCATACCTCCATCCGTATCAAGATTAATACGGCGTCTTTCTCTAGTGGCTTCAATTTCTTGGGCCCGACTCTTGATTTTTTCAATTTTCTGGGAAAAGGTATTGGTTGTGCTACCATAACATAGTATACAAGCAGCATGCTTAACGAATCGAAATGGCCCCTTTCCCTTATGTGATTCAATCTCCGGAAGGTAAGTATCCAAAATATCTTCTATGTCCAGAGCAAGATCTTTCATGTCAATTATCAAATTAGCAACTTCATGGCTTCCAACTTGTTTTGACTCGGCATCTTTGAGGCATGATTTGAAGTGTCTCATTTGTCGTTCAATCCACTCTATGTCCTCCTTCAATCTATACAATTGTGAGCTTGTTCCGACAATTAGATTGGCGGATATCTCTACTGCTTGGTTAATGACTGCAGTAAGTGCTGCTGACTCTGCCATCTACTCTCGTTTCCTCTCAAATATAGTATGTGAAATAAGATGAATCAAATGAAAGTCGAGATTAGTGTAAGATGAGAATGGAATGACTATCAGTATATGTACATATAGAGGACTAAACCCTCTCTACACGGGTACAACCCCTATACCCTCTCACATAAGGTGGGTCTCACGTAGGATCCACCTCAATAAAAAAGTAAAGAAAAAATTACCCACTCCTATGTGTGAATTGTCGGTAGTGTGAACCCCCACCGGTACAGCATGATTGAAATATAAAACTACTCAGTGACTGAGAATGCATTTCCAATCCCCACCAGTGCAAATATGTGTTGGGAATTTACTTAACA